AATTGAAATTGTCTGATTCCCATGTCTGCACATTTAAACACTGAGCCATATTAGAAAAAGAAATAAAAATTCTAAAGATGTAGAAAATATATAGAATCCAACAAATACAGAAGAAATAGGCTACTTCTCAAAGAATTGTCTCAGGAAAGTCATATGGGTGAATTCTTTCAAGCTTTCATGAAACAGATCATTTAAATGATGTATATATGGTACAGAATATAGAAAAAGATGGAATATTTCCTAATTCATTTCACAAAGCCAGCATAACTTTGACAGCAAAATCAACAAAAGATAAATTTGAAAAGTCCAACATGAAACAACAGCAAAGAAAATCCAGTAATCTATTAAGAGAACAATATACCACAAACAGGTAGAATTTAATCCAAAAATGTTTCAAAGTTCTGAAACAATATTAGAACTGATTGCATCAACAAGTCAACAGAGGAAAAGCAACATAAATATCTCCGTAGATATCAAGTGACCATTTCATAAAATTCTAAATTCAGTTCAGATTTTAGTCATATATGAAGTAGAAATAAATACTTTATTAGCATTATGAAAACTATATATTCATTATCATATTTAACAGTGAAAGAGAAACAAGACAAAAATTTCTATTTTCAACAATTTAATGTTTTGGAAGATCTAGCCAATGCTATAAAACAAGAAAGAGAAATGAAAGAGATAAAATACTGAAAAAGGCAAAATTTGTATTATATAGATATGAATGGTTCTTTACCTAGAAATTCCAAAACGTTCAACCAAAAACTTATAGAACAAATGAGAGAATTCAATGAGACAGCCAATGACAATAAATATATAATCTCTTCCCTACATACCAGTAACAACCAGTTAGAAAATGTAAGAAAAGGGAATAAATTCACAATAGAAGCAATACTTAATTCTTTGAAATAAGTTAATGACAAATAATCAATTTGTCAAATTTGACAAAATGTGAAAATATACATTAAACTGCAAAATACCATGCAAAGCCCAAGTATCAAAAATATCAATTCTCTTTAATTTACAATTTTATAAAATTTCACAGAAAACCTGTAACAAATTTTTTTAACTTCACAATCTCACTAAAATTCATCTGGAAGTATCAACGAGTGAGACTAATCAAGATAATCTTGAAAAAAAAGAATGAAGGAAGACTATTGCTACCAATAATAGCACACTTTTAACAATACCATATAGGAAAACAAAGCAATGCTGATATAAGAATAGGCAGATTAATAAAATAATAGAAAGCCACAATAAGAAACGAAAACTATAAAAATATCTAGCATGTGGTAAATGTGAAAATGGGACATATACTTATTTCTCACAATAATCAAATTAATGGATTGAAGATTCATATATAAAAGATGAAATAATGAAAAATACTAAAGAAAAATGAAAGTGACTATATATATAAGTTTAGGGTGAGAAAGACCTTTCTAAGTGAGAAGAAACTGTAAGAAAAATTAATGATAGATTTTTAGAACAAAATTTCTTACATTAAAATTTTCATCAACAAAATGGAATGGCAAGTGAAAAATGGGGAGGGGAAACATTGGTAATATATAATAGAAAAAGTTACTATTCGAATTTTGAAAGGTCTTACAAAATAAAAATTAAAAAATGAGTACCCCAAAGGAGAAAAATGAGTAAATAGCTTTCAGTTCAATAGGGTGAATTGAATACAGATGTTCACCTGCCCTCGCACCCTTTGAAACGGTTAAATGATCATGGAGAGATTTTCATTTTGGGAGTAACTACAAAGGGACAAAGACAAGAAGATAATAAGAGTTTTGACTTTTCCAGAGCTGGGAATCCTAAGCTGGCTTTGAGGGAAAACAGAAATAAAGCCCAGTGTATTCCAGGAACCCACAGAAGTCTCAGGAATTTTCAGCATCAGGTAACCCAATGTGGCAGGAAAATCTGGGCCTAAATGGAATAAATTGGCAAAAAGTCTGTCTAAGAAGGCACCTCCCCAAACCCTCACCCATTGCGCAGCCTTCCTAAACTCTGAGAGAAGACTAAAAATGTGTTAAATGGAGAAAGTAAAGTGTAGGTGACTAAAACAGACACATATCTAAATCATCTGTTTCCATTTATCTATAACCCCAGAGATTTGAGAAAAGCATCTAACATGAAAGTTAGAACCATACACACTTAGAAGAAGAAGAAAAAGCTTAGAGACCCTGTAAGGAGAAGAAAATTTCAAAAAACCTATTAACAATATCAGGAATATCAAAGAAGCAATTGCATCCATGAAACAAAATGTTATAAAATAATATTTAGAGTATAATAAAAAGTCTTGAACAGTAGAGATTACAGAAATGAAAATAGGTCAAAAGATGAAGACAAAAAAAATTCTCAGGATGGGAACAAAGAAATTAAGAGTTGACATCAGAGGGAGATTATGGGCATATTAGAGAACTGGTCAAAGAGATCCAACATTCAAACAATGGAAGCTCTAGAAAAAGGAAAGAGATGGAATCGTTCAAGAAAAATTTCCATAACTAAAGGGCACACATTTTCAGATCAAATGATCTGGCAAAATGGATGAACGTAGATTCACATTAAGACACATACAAATGAAATTTAAAACACTAAAAGATAATGGGAAAATCCAACAAGTATCAGGAAGGGAGGGGGAGGATCACATCCAAGGGGTAAGGAATCACAAAGGCTTCAGACTTCTCCTCAACAACACTAGAAGTCAGAAGACAATTACGTGTGCTCTCTAAAATCTGAGGGGAGAAAAGATGACCAACTTGAATTCAATACCCAGCCAAACTATCAGTGTCAGTGGGAACTAGACATTTTCTTTTTTACATGTGGAAGGTCTCCAAACGTTTACCTCCCATGAACACTTTCTCACTTTGCTAAAGGATGCACTCTAGCAAAACACGGGAGTAAACCAAATGAGAGGATAACAAGGGGTTAATGACATCAAGGATCCAACCAAGGAGAAAAGATAAAGGGAATCCCTGGAAGACAATGAGGAGAAAGCCCAAGGTAAGGGCAGGAAGACCAAGCTAGAACAGAACAAGCAAGAAGACTCCAGGAAAAGATTTCTTCAGATGATAAAGCATGAAAAAACAACAAAACACCAATGTGTTTGAATGTATTGAGAAGCTTAGGATAAATTTTGGAATGTTATTTAAAAACCAATCAAAGGGAAAAAAAAACTAAAGAAATGAAAGAAAAAAAACAAAGAAAAAAATAAAGGCAATTATCAACTCCAGAGAATATGAAAGTTACAAAGAGGTATATAATCATATATTACATTGTTCCTTGTCAAGAGTGTTTATAGTGTTATGATAATGTAAATACTGAATATTGATAAAACCAAAACTGAACTAAACATCTTTAGAGAGAGAGGGAGAGGTGTGAATGTGTGACGCCAAGGGCATTTGTGAGAGATAAATTCACATCTTCTATGGGTAAAGAGTCAATATAATGCGTAAGCCAAAAACAAAAAGACAAAACAAAACAAAAAAGCAAGAAGAAAAATAAGAATATTACTTAGCAAAACAGTTGTATCTGTCAAGAATATTCGTTAAAAGAGTTCAAAACTGTTGCAGAGTGAAAGGAACTGGGAGATTGGAGGGCTGATGCTTCTGAAACAACCCTGTAGAACTATTTAACTCTTAAAATGATGCACATGCATGACTTCAACTAAAATAAACTCAATGGAAAATGAAAAAATTGAAGGACCTGAACTTGCACTTCAGGTGCAAAGAACCAATAAAGATATGGGGGAAATGCTCTCTTCAAAGTCAATAAAAGACCTGAACACGGAGAGAATGAAATATCATGTTTTGACAAACAAGCAAATGGTAAAAACCTCAATAATTCCCAGAGAAGCAGGCACTTCTTAAACTAATTCTGAGGTCAAACTGGCGATAAAAGGCTCATCCCTCCTCCACATGGTCATTTCACTTTTAAAAGGAAATGCAGGAAACAAGTCAGGCATGTGTGGAGATGAATGAACCAGGATGCTCACCCCAGCGTGCACCAGCCAACTTTTACAACTATCTAAATATCTGATGAGAGTGAACCAATTAAACCAATTATGATATAGTCACCTGCTAGGATACTAAGGAACCATTTTTTAAAAAATCACAAAATAGGAAATGACTTAATGGCATGGGAAAGCATTCAGGAGATAGAATTAGATGAAAACGTTAAGATGACAGTGATGAGCCCAATTAAAAATATATATATGTGTACACGTACGCGTGTACACGTGTACACACACACACACACATACTTGATGGGCAAACAAAAGACTAGAGGCTGGTCTCCATGATATTGGCAGTGGTCATTTTTGAATGGTGACACCAGGTTGTTCTTTTTAGCATTTTACAAGCTTTTAAAATAGAGAGGTATTTTTTTGTATTTCCTTTTTAATGAGAAAAATAATATTTTTAAAAATTATGTTCAAAATACTTCAGTTATTGGCTTGCAGTACTTTATGGGAAATCTCCCATGGCTCCCACTGCCTGCGCTCTCCGTTACAGCCATGAGTTCACAAAACCCAATGACCGGCAGAGTTTTGAAGGACTGGCTTGGAGCAGGAGCGTGAAGGTAACCCCAAGCCTCAACTCCAGCATCAGAAAAGACTCTGGTGCCAGGTCAGCTGCTAAGTGAACACGGCAGCACAACCTGGGTGGGACCAGAGACCAGGAGGGACAGCAGTGTGCGGTCCAGCCCCTGCTGACCTCACCTCTGGGATTGCCCTCTCCCTAGTGGGACTTCGGGCAACTTTTAGCAGCTTCTCTGCCGGCCCCATCATCCACTCAGAGAAGCACCTGCCAGGACTGGCCCAGCCTCTGCCTGCCCTGCACCAGGCGGGCTGTGCACACACTTAGGCCCTTGGAGGCCCTTGTACAAGCTCCAACACACCTGGGATCACCTACAGTCTTCACATGACCTAGACCAGCCAGCTCTTTCTCACAGGCACATATGCTTTGTAGAGTGTCACCAGGAGACGCAGAACTCACCCAGGAAGGGAGCGCTCCACCGTCAGAGAGGTCCTCTCGGGAGGGCTTGTGCTCAGGCTACACCACCTTCCAGGACTCCATGCAGAGCACCTTTCAAGACAAGAAGGCTGTGTCATAAAACCAACTGAAAAAGTGTCTGACCCACAGGGTACAGGGACCATGTAACCATTCCTGACAGGGGGCTCTGGAAACAGCGAGGCGCAGCACCTGGGGTGGGATACTCAGAATTCCATGGGAAATGGACAGCTATGGAATCAAACATGTGAGTTCTGCACGATGAAGACCTTGAGCGGTTTTGGTGAGATTCGTGGAGATAAAGAACATGGTGGTGGGGGTGGAGGTGGCTATGAGAATGGCAAGCAGATCAGGGCCCTCAGATTTCAACTCGTTGAGTTCCAGCTATTGTTACTATTACTATTATTGTCTTTGACCTCAGGTCTACATAGAATTCAACTGACAACAGTCCTTAGTCCATGATACCAGCCATCAATGGTCCATGAGTCTCTTGGATTTTCTGATTTTTATTCAACATGTCAAGGATTGAGTGCCCATCCATAAACCCACCATAGCTCCAACCCGGAGCTGCAACACTAACTGTAACTTACCCTCCTGCACTGAGTGGTCCTGCAGCTCCCTGCCAGCCCTGGCAACCACAGCTAAGACCCACCTTGGCCACACCCCTGATCCTGAATTCACCATTTCCTCAAAACAGTCCCAACCATGCCTGGGAGCTCAGTTCAGCCAGGTATGAGAAATGGGCTAGTCTGAAGGACGGACAGACAGCCGAGGACCCACTTCAGGCTCTCCCCGAGATCATGAAAGCAGGAGTCTGGTGGCCCAGCCAGAAGCAAGGCCCTGAGCTCTGCGGCCCACGTGCCCTGTGTGTGTATTTTGAAACCTGCCGTTTGGGGTGACTGTCAAATGCAGGAAGGGAGTTTTCCAGATGCTTTCCTACAGGGCTGTTAGGAAAGGGCATCAAATGGGTAAACTGTGCCAGGAAGGTTTGGTCCATCCATTCATGCTGATGAGCAAAGCATAGGCATGTGCTTCAAGGTTCTCAAGACCAAGGTCACAGAGGCTCTAACACTGAGAACTGCCCCCAGGGCTCTCTAACGTGTGTCGTACCCCATGGGTTGCCACAGCTATGCTCCTGCAGCTCCAGCTTCAGCCACTGCCGTGTGTGACAGGTTCCCTTGGCCAGAAGAGCCTGGGGAAGACACTGGTCAAGGAGGCAGGGATGCCCGGGCCAGGCTGTGGCCCTTAAAGGACCAGGGGCACAGTGCTGCCTTCCCAAGACCTCAGTTTCCTTGTCTCCACACTAAAGCCTTGATGTCACCCACCTCCAGATGAAACAGGGAAACATGGTGGCAATGGGCATAATGCAATGTGACCATCTTCCTCCTCAGTGTCAGGACTCTCAATATCTGGGACTAGCCCTGGTTCCACCTAGTGCTCAGACACTTGTCCCATCAATTTCAGGACCAACTCACACTCCTCTGGCTCCAGGAGGGTCAAGGCCTGAGCCAAAGGCTCAGAGCTCATGAGGGCGACAGACCAAGCTCATTCAAGTTTCACTGGAGAAGCGACCCAAACCGTGGAATTCTCCCCGTGAACGGTCCGCGGCTCAGTGACAGCACAGCGGAGGTTTGTTTTCAATCTTCCCTCCCTTCCCTGCACTGAGAGGAGGCCCAGCGACCCTGCAAACCAGGCTCAGGCCAGGCTCTGGGCAGTGGCCATGGGTTTCAAATTCTGAAACTGGCCTTTTGCAAAACGTTCGGTTTCGAGCCCTGGTCCCGCTGCCCACATCCTGTCCAACCTTCCCGGGGGAGCGAGGTCTATTTAAGGGAGGAATGAAGTCCTCGGTTCAGTGCCGTGTGCTGCAAACACGCTCCAACCCAGGCAATTTCAGGGCTTAAGGTTACATGTTTCTTAATGAGTCGCAGGCAGAGGCAAAGCAGAGCTGGTGGATTGGGAGGACACGTCTCGGTAGAGAAGGGCTGTTCCCAGCATCAGGGACCCTGCTCTGGACCAGGGGTGCCCGCGGGCGGCTCACCCTCAGTCCTCTGTGCGTTCATTCCCTGCCGTCCAACCAGCATTCTGAGGGATCCATCAGCCACTACACATAGGTTCTGGACGCGGGGGATCCAAGGCCCCCAAGACTGAGTACCCACAATCGGGGAGCTCCAAGTCTGATGGGGAAGGTAGATACCATATAGGTCATGACCAAGCAACAGGAGAGGTTTCTGAATGGAGGTCAAGCTCATGACTGTGTATGGGTTCTGAGACTGGGGGGACTCCTAGGCTCAGGGCTGCTAGGGGATGAGCCTGTGCAAAGGCCCAGAGGCACAGGCTCACTCAAACTTGGGGAAGCAGCGGCTGGTGGCGCACGAGGCCGGGGAACATGGTGGGAGGTGTGGCTCGAGGCCAAGCCATGAAGATACTTCAGAGGGAAACCAAGGAGTTTGGACTTCATCTTAGAGCTTCTGGAACTCACAAGAGGGTTTAAAGGATAATGGGCTTCATCCTCACGCATTCTAGAAATATCACAACACCTACCCGGAGAGCAGGCTGGAGGAGGGGCAGGGGGAGCAAATGGAAGGCAGATGGCAACCCAAGAAGAGACTCAAGGGGGAGAGAGGGAGGGAGGGGGAGACAGGGAAACAGGGAGAGTGGGAGGGAAGAGAGGGGGAGACGGAGAGGGAGGGTCTGCTGTCTTCAAGGTCTGGGGGAGGCTGTCCTATTGACAGTGGCATTCTGGTATAACTTAGCTAAACTCACTGTTCTTCTGGGGCAGGTGAATTTGAGTAACACATCCATTTGGGGGCTTTTTAAAAAATGCAACTGAATTCATCAATGATAGCTCGCGGGGAAATTTCTGAGGCATTTATGTCCTCCAGGTTCCGTGCTATGTACAGGACATGCACCATGTGAGGGCCCCATAACGAGCTCTTGTCAGACAAGCTTAACTCTCAACCACCCCGCAGGTGGGCGTCAGCTCCCCCATCTAACGGATTAAGCTTAAGCTGGGCCAGGGGGGCTTCTCATCAAACCCAAAGCCCCACAGCTGGAACCAGGCGTCACGAAAACAAGGCTGAGTTATTTTCGATCTCCTATTTTGGCAGAGACAAGGGCGGCTTTCGGGAAGACCCAGGGCTCCCATCCCACCATGCCAAGCCAACGTTGCCCAAGGATGGGCCACTGTCCAGGGCAGTGAGGACTGCCAGTATCCTGTCTCACTGTCTGGCACTGGGTGCAGAAAGCCGGACTCCAGGGGGATTCTGGACTCGTGTGGGAGATGCCACCGACCATCTGACACACAGCACGCTTCCTCATGGAACAGTTCCCAGGCTTTCTGAGAAGGGCAATCCTGTTTCCACAAGAACACAGGCATTTTTATCTCCCTCTTTCATTTAATAATTTACTGGCGCCTCCTAGGTTCAGGGCTGGGCAGGCACTGGGGATACAGAGAAAAATCTGACCCAGTTCCTGGCTCTCTGGGCACATCAGTTTAGTGATGACATGAAAACAAATGGCCACGACACAGCAGGACTGGAGATCTAGACGGGGGAGTGACAATGTGCTGCGAGGCTGGGGTGGGGCCAGGGAGTAGTCAGGGCAGGAGGCCCAGGGCCAGGTCACAGACTCACCCCGCCCTTTGCTGTGTAATGCGAGTGCTCACACCCATTCCAGGGCAGTTAATTCACTCTCGGTTACACGCTCATTGGCTCTTTAACAAACTCAGGGCTTCGTTCATTCTTTATGTCGATCATCATTGATTCAACTACTCGATCAACGACTGTTTACTGCAGCGGCTCTGCGTGCAAAGAGGGGGGGGAGGGGGGG